AGAGGATCCCCATAGTCGCTCAGTCGGACATTCGGTCGTCGGATGCGCGTCGACCGTCGGAACGAAGCACCAACTCCTTCATTTGCCTCGTCATCAGTCTCTCTTCCTGCTCCCACTGAGCGAGGAATTTCTTCTACCGGATCACCGTTCGCAATGACAGCATCAACAGGTTGATCATCCGAGTCACTCCAGTCTGGGTCATTATCCACAACATCTGAGTCACTGAGAGCTAGCGAGTCTCTTGAAGACGCAGAGCCACTGAGACAGCCCTCCACCGTTCTCAAAAGGTGCAGAACAACTGCGATGAGGCAGGTTCAACTGCGATGAGGCAGGTTCTCTCCACCTTCTGCACCGCCGTCTCCATCAGTGTCCTCATGCTGTGGCACATGATCCACTTCTCGTAGTCCACGCGCACGTGACGACCGAGCTACAGTTTCACCTGCACCCGTCGGATTCGCGCTCGACGTGCTGCCTGCAGGAGAGCTAGCCAACGCCGGCCCACCCACAGCAAACGGAGCTCCAACTACAGTACTGACTTGCCCTCGTAAGTCCTCACTGCAACGCCGTTTATCGCGATGTTCATCACTGTGTTCTCTTTCAGGCTCTCCGAGAGGTCTTCGAGCTGGACTGGGGGACGTCAAGTCATCTAGCCGAACAAAAGGAATTCGGGACGGAAGCTGATACTTGCCGCGCTTGTATCGATTGAGCAGGAGTTTTTCAACGTAACTGTACTCCACAGTCCAGTTCTCAGCAAATCGAACTGTCCTAAGTTCCTTCACCTTTCCAGTCTTCAAATCAAGAACACGGTAGCTCATCGACTCCTTGCCGTACCCGGGGAAGAGTCCAGGCTGTCCAGTATTCTCTAATTTGTTCTTCCTTAGGACTTTTGCAGTGAAGGTGTAGACCAAACAACCCCACGTCCTCAGGTTGGACAGGTCCGGCCGCTCTCCGAAGCGCCGAGTGTATGGTGTTTCTCCGTCAAGTGCAGCGCTTGGATTAATATTGAGCACCTCCACCGCAAAATCAAACGCTTCTCCCCAGAGCAGGTTAGGTAGATTCACCGTTGTCAACAAGCTCCGCACACGGGACAGCACCACCCCATGCATGCGCTCAACGAGTCCATTTTCCTCCGGACTGTATGAGTTGGTCTTTGCCAGCGCAATTCCATTCGTTCTCAAGAAGGCCTTAAACTGATTACTGATTAGTTCGCCTCCTCCGTCCGAGCCAAAAGCTTCAACTCGATGCCCTCGTGCGAGTATCCAAGCCACATGTTTCATCACAACATCGGCAGCTTCCTCCTTTCGCTTCCGAAGAAAGCCCCACACGTAACGAGTCGCTTCATCCAGCACAAGCTGAAAATGTAAATAACCATTGTAGGTAGACTCGTTAAGGAAGCATTCATCAGACATGAGCTTCTGATACGGCTCCCGCGCTCTATCAGTGGTCACCTGCTTGTACGACATTCGCCGCATCTTGGCTTGCACACACGTCCAGCACTGCTCTTTGGGCGCGCGCACACTCCCACTCAACTCCAAGCCATCCACAGTGCCTTCTCGGACCATTCGCCGTAAAGCAGCAAAGTTGAGATGGCCGAGACGGGCGTGCCACCGTACCAAAGCTCGCTCCTTGTCCGGTTTGCTTTGCTCGACTGCCTCTACTTGCTTTGTAGGACATACCGTCGACTGCAAGCGATATCGTCCGCGAGTCTTCATCAGTCTCAGCAGCACTCTACCCTTACGAAGCCACGCACACTTCTGTTTCTTCAGCTTGACGAAGTCCCATCCGTCCTTCTCAAGTTTATCCAGACTCAGTAAATTGTTTGTGCCGCTAGCTTTGTAGAGCACACTACCCAGACCAAACGAAACAGGAATATCAGGCTGATTCTCGTTCTTCACTCGAACATTTACTTCTCCAATCAACCCTCTGCTCTTGGACGGCTTGCCTTCCCAATCAAACACCATAGGTCCATCATCTTGGCGTAGATCGGTAAGCATGTCCTTATTGGTACAGACGTGGCAGTCACTCACTGAGTCCAAGATCCACTCAACTCCACCATCGAGAGAACTCTGCGTTGCCGTAGGCGCCGAACTATCATCACAACGAGAAAGCATATTCACATCACGCTTCTCGCGGTTTTTCCCAGCTTTCTTCTTATGTTGCCAGCGTTTCCGCTCTGGGAGCTGCGAATCAGACTCATCGTCATCGCGTTTGGGATTCGGACAATTTGTCTGGATGTGGCCAACTTGATGGCAATTCTAGCACTCACGTTTGTCCTCACCACCAGTCTTCTTTCCAACTTACCACTCTTAGCCTTATATCTACCTCGACCACGCTTCTTGCCTTTTCCTTGCGGCTGCTGGCCTTGCTTCTTGCCAGCCTGCGCGGAAGAGATATCACGGCCTTGCTGTGGATCATCCATCCTGGCGTCGAGTTCCGACTCTGCTCTCAATGCATTCATCACTTGAGCCGACGACGGAGTCGATCGCTGGTAACCAGGGTCAAAGTGTTTGGAGAACTGTCGAACAACGTCGCGATGTGTCTGCACCACGTTACCAAGGAGAATCTCGGCGAATTCCTCGTCAGAAACCCCTCTTCGATAGTGCAGTAGCTCATTACGATAGAGCTGCATCTCACGAAGCCAGTCATTCATGTTCCTCCCTGGCGTGTACGCGTTCGCAATCAACCTTTGTCGAGCGAAGATGTAATTTGCATACTCGCGTTTGGTCTGCTTTTCGACAAATACAGTCCACATATCTTGCGCGCTCTGCTGATGGTATATCAACTCAGCATCGGCCTTAGGAACGCCTCGCAAGATTGCACCACGAGCCAAATTATTCATTCGACGAAATTGCTCCTCGCTTACAGCTGCACGAACCGCTGACGCATTCTCCACAACACCCCAAATGTCCATGTTGGTCAAGAAAGTTTTCAGCTCCTCTGCATACAAGTCAAAACTTCCCGACATTACAGGCGGTTTATTCTCCATTTTCATTCCATACCAGCCACTACTAGCGAAATGAGGAGTCATCATAGGAGCTGCATGTACACTAGCACCCTCCAGAGACGATGCAAATGCAGGCGAACCCAGCGACGGCAGCGACGGGACTGTACCCCACGGCGAGGCCGCAAAGCTCGATGCAGTCGAAGCCGCAGGCGCTACAGCTGCCACTCCAGCCCCAGTCGCCCCCGCAAAACCACCTCCAGTTGTCCCCAAGAACGTAAACCCTCCAGTCAGCGTGCCAGCACTTCCACTCGAGCCAGCAGAGATCAAACTTGGGACAGATGTAGTCACACTCACCCCGACACTCGGTCCAGTAGCTGCAGGAGTCATCACAGTCGCCGGAGGAGCGATTCCAATCGATCCAGCTACTGATCTCACCGCAAAACCCGACGAAATAGCACTAGTTTGGCCGCCAGCAGCCACAGTTGGCGTGCCGCCACCAGACGACGATCCACTTGGTCCAGACATCTCTCCGAGCTACACGAGAACTGCTCGCAAAGCCCCAGAGCGTTGGGCTCATAACCTGGCACGATGAGCAGGCGAGTGTTAGTAGGAGGAAGAGCTTAGTGAGCAGGAAGACGACGCTAGGAACACACGTGCTTCCCACTGAACAACTTTGGGATTGAGGAGGGAAAACCTCGAAGGTGCCAACCCCCCCTCTGTGTTAGCTGCAAACTACTATACGCCAACGGGCTCAAGGAGTCACATCCCGTATACTCACAACCAAAGGCAACCTTGGGTGTCCCAGGTGTATACTGTATAGTCAGGCACGCTGGGGCGGAGCCAGTCACTACCTTCTTCACAAAAGATACTTAAAGTAAAGCAGGTCGGTACTATCGCCGCTGGTGGAATGCCTTATCGCCAGAAGAAAGATGCGTATACTTAACGCGCACGACGACCCAACATTTCCTCTGGACGAGTCCCACAAAGGAATCTACGACGAGCGGAAGGACCGGGTCCCAGCAACTGTCCCTGTGGCGTATCCTCAATTGGTATCCCGCTACTGCTTCCCAAAAGACCACACCCAGATCACCACGGTAGATAGAGCTCTACTGAGCAAGATCGCTCGGTACAAGGAAGCTCATGCGATCCGTAGGCGAGACTGCAGCAGCGCGCAGTATCGGGTGTAGTTAGCCGACTAAACCGCAATAAATTTAAATTTAAATCGGTACAAGGAAGCTAGTACTAGCTACGTCGCTGCACTTCGTACGAGCGAGCTGTTTCACATCGCCCAAACATGTAAGGCGTCGGATGTGGTCAAGCATACGTTAAGATCGGTCTCAATGATCCTGGGCTGCCTAATAAACGACGTAGGTTGGCAGGTGCCCGGAGACAGTCGGAGCTCGGATGTTGGTGCGATTCAAAAGGCGGCTACAGCGATCGAAGCTGTAACAACTGATGCCTTGTTGTCATCGGAGGATGATGTGTACGACATGATGGGCAAGTGTCGCGAGTGCGAGGCAAACGCTTGGCACAATTGCAGCAGATCTCGAAGTCTAAAGCTTCTCTGAAATTTACTTGACGCGGGACAAGCATCCAGGTAAAATGCAACAGTTTTCAGCGTTAGGGTGGCTCGAAGTGGAGGACGCCATCTTGTATGTGTCTGCCAACACGCCGGGAGATGGTAGCGAGGAAGTCGAAGCTGACGATAGTGCTATCCACTCGACCAAGAAAAGCAGTACAAAACGCCGTCGAGCTCGGAGTAAATCTAGCAGCTAGAGTCCATTAAGAAAACTAGGCACCCCGTTCGATCTAACAAATAATAGACAGAACCTCCGGCGTGTTGACGTCGAGTTGAGGACGCTCTAAAGGATGGCCAAGACGGTTCACACTCCCGTGGTGCTCATTTGTGCTAGGCGAGTTTTCTGTCACTGTCAGCGACTCACTAAGCAGGGGTCACATGTCAGTTTCAAGTCCATATTCACGAAAGTGAGGGAAGGGCCTGAACGCGTACGGTGCATGTATTATGTTATGTTATGTATTACGTTTTCGCGTTGCCACA